TGAGAGAGGAGTGAAAGTAATAGCAACTAAGTAACCTCTGGAAGTTACTGACTTCTAAAAGTGGGGATTAGTATTTCATAGAATCATAAAATCAACCAGGTTGGAAGAGACCTCAAGATCATCAAGTCCAACCCTACTGTGGGTACTAGACCATGGCACTAAGTGCCACATCCAGTCTCAGCTTGAAAACCTCCAGGGATGGTGAATCCACCACCTCCCTGGGCAGCACATTCCAATGGCTGAGCACTCTCTCTGTAAAAAAATCTCTTCCTCATCTCCAACCTAACCCTCCCCTGGCAGAGCTTGAGTCTGTGCCCTCTTGTCCTGCTGCTGGTTGCCTGGGAGAAGAGACCAACCCCCACCTGACTCCAACCTCCTGTCAGGGAGTTGCAGAGGGTGAGAAGGTCTCCCCTGAGCCTCCTCTTCTCCAGGCTGAACAATCCCAGCTCCCTTAGCCCCTCCTCATGGCACTTGTGCTCGAGGAGTAGCCAACTGTGGGGCACTATTTCATATTTCTTGTGTTTTTAGTAAGGAGTTTATATTGAGTGGGTTGCCACCCACAAGGAATGTTCTGGGACAGCAAGAATCCATTGTGTGAAAGTTGAAAAAACTCCTCTTAAATATCAGAGCACCAGGTTTTTAGGCTCTAATTTGGTTTTGGGCAAACATGTAAATATCTATCCTTCCATCAAAAAAAAATGTTTTGACTTGATCTAAAGTTCAAGACTGTGCTGTTGCCCACAGATACCATTATATTTAGCATGTCATTCAAAGAGATATTTGGGAGTTGCCTAATTACTCTCCAGAGAGTCAAGTGTGAAGTTTCTAATCTTTTTTCTTTAATATTAATTCCTATTTGGAGCAGCTTCTTATTTCAAAAGGGAAATGACTTTTTACCTAAGTAACTTGGATTATTGTAGCTAAACTTCTTGTCTGCAGCAAAAAAAAAACCCAACAAATTGAGCTCCAGGAAAAAAAAAAAAAAGGCCAAAATTAAATTCATGTATACATCTCTGTTATAATCAACTGAATTTAACACTTAGTTTCTGCTTATAGAGTGTTACCTGCCTGTAACTTTTCCCACATGCCAGTTTACAGTAGGATTACTTGATAAAAATTTCTGGCATGTTGCTGTGGAAAATTAATGCAAAGGGAAATATTTGACTTGGAGCATGCATGAAAAGCACTTTCAGAGTGGGGAGTTAAGTGTAGTTTTTCTCCCAATACATATTATAGAATATAGAGCTATAATGATTAAATGATTGGTTTAATAAAGTGATTAATAGAAAAAGTATCTATTTGTGGCATAAACACTGGATATCTAGCCTTGAAATGAAGGCAGAGGTAGCTTGCTCACCAGTCAGATCTCAATGCAGATCTTGTTCACCATGGTCAAGTCACTAAGAAAGGGATGACAGCCTGAACTAAGAGAGATTTAGGAGGAAAAAGTGTCACCATCCGTGTGTCTTGGTGAGAAAGAAAAGCTTCCAAGAAGAGAATCATAGAATCACAGAATTTAAGGGCTGGAATGGACCTTACAGATCATCTAGTCCCAAACCCCTGCCCTGGACCTCCTCACTAGATCAGGTTGCTCAAGGCTTCATCGTACCTGGCCTTGAACACTGCCAGGGTTGGGGCAGCCACAGCCTCCCTGGGCAACCTGGGCCAGGGTCTCACCACCCTTAGAGTAAAATACCTTTTTCTCACATCCAACCTAGACTTTCCCTCCTTCAGTTTGAACCCATTACCCCTTGTCCTATCACTGCAGTTCTAACACAGAGTCCCTCTCTGGCTCCTTGTAGGCCCTTCAGGTATTGAAAAGTTGCTCTGAGGTCTCCACACAACCTTTTCTTCTCCAGGCTCAACAGCCCCAACTCCCTCAGCCTGTCCTCAGAATGAATGACTTAGCCTGAAGTTTAGCAATGTGATTTGTGTGGTTTTTTGGGCTCAGGCTTTTATTGTTTGCAGGTATGTACAAACACCACTTTTACCTTTGTATGAGGTATTACAGCAGCGTTTTGAATTGGCAAATCCTCTGGTATAACATGGGTGAGAGAGAACATAAGAGAATTTAGAAACAAGCCAAACATTGCTCATTAGAAGACAATCATAGCTAGAGGTGGCACAAATTGGAAGAGATTTAAGTACCAACAGCTAATATCCCTGTTCCCTTGCAATAAAGTATTGAGAACTGCTTCATGTTGGATACTCCTGTTATGAATAAAAATACCTCATTTGTGTTTCAGCCTATTCCACTTGCAAACTGATTAAGAGAATGAGTTAATTGAATTTTATTCCAGAATGTTGTTTCCACCTGTGATGCTGTGGCTGAGTAGTTGAATACATGCTTTGTATTCAAGCTGTGCCTCTGCCTTCCAGTTGTATTCAAGTCTTTAGAGAAGCATTGCATTAAATATGCTCTAGATTACGTCTTAGGTAGGCATTTAATAATAGTCATGGATCAACTGGTGTCTCAATGTGTCTTTGCTGGCTTTTTTTTACCTAATAATTCTGTGAAAGTGCAATTTTCTAGGGTAGCTTGTGTCTAAAAAAAGGCTCTCCCACCTTCTGCAAATCCTACATGACAATTTATTTTCAACTAAAAATAATACATAATTGCATATATATATATGCAGTATGTATATATAGAGGAGCATGTGTGTGCATATATATATAAAAATAAAAAATCATGCATGCTGCTGTGATACCCTGGAAACCTCCATTTTTCTACAGCAAGAGGTCTCTAACAAAATTACCTGGTTTAGATATTAGAAAAAAAAAAATGCACTGACCTTTCTCAGAGCAGAAAGAGTAGGAAATTTTTTTGCTAGTATTATGAAGAAATGGAAACAGGCAACATCAAAATTACAAATCCCCCGAGACATTTTGGTGTTATGTCAGAATTGAAATGTTTCCCTGCTCAGGCAGAATGCTGACGTTCGAAATGAAAAAAAAAAAATTAGAAAAAAGGAATTTTCAAGGTGAGTTTTCCAGGTTATCAACACTTTTTCTCTCTTTTTACACCTTTTGAAGAATTTTGTTTAATGAGAAGCTTAATTTTGGAACATGCTAGAGGGAGAAAGTCCCATTCTTTGCTTGAACACATGCAAAGGCAGAGCTAAATACCAGCGCAGCCTTGGCAAATCCTAGAGGAGTTGCCTGTCCTTAGGGTAGATTAATGCAGTGTGCACAGGTATGACTGAGTCGAGCACACAGAACCTATTTTAACATAGATTTGGTGAGGCTTTCGCTCTAACAGATGAGCTAATGCCATCACCTAGCAATTATCAAGTAGTGTGATGTTATGTAATGAAAGTATAAATAGCGCAAGGTCTAGAACCAGTGAATCTAACAGACTAGTGAGGAGACAAGAGGAGGAATGTGATTTGGAACTTTTTGATTAACATCTGAACATTGTTGTTTGAAAAGAAGTTTAGATCTGATGTTACAGTAAAGCTGTAGGCCATAGTTGTTGTGTTCCTTGATTTGGAGTGATGCTTGTGCTGTGCCCCTGGATAAATCACTTGGCCTATCTATACCTCTTTAAAGAAAGTTAGAAAGCTGGAAAAAGGCAAAGGGTGTTTCCCAGTGACTGATGAACAAATAGCCTGTGACCTGCAGTTTGAACTATCTGATTACTCCTGTACCAGTGCGATGTCTTTTAGAGTTGTTTTTGTAGTTCTTTGGCAGTGTTCAGAGAGTTAATGGGTAAGGAATGCAAGAAGTCATGTTCACCTAGAGAAGAGAAACTGTGTGGAAGGAGAGACTCTTCCACATCCCTACAGAGACTTGGGAAGCATCAGAGTCATTCATCTCCCTCAGGATTTGGCATGTTTCTCCAAGCACGCTGATTATATTAGGGTGGCGTTTCCACTTCCTGGGGGCAGAAAGGAGGGAGGAAACTCAGAGCATCATGAAATGTGACTTGGTTGTGAAGAGCCTTAGAATTGCCAGTGGAAAATAATTTCTAAGGATACCTTTGGAGAGTTACGGTTTTTAAAAAGCCCATCAAGAGAAGGTGGTAGATGATTGAAGTGAGGTTTGCAAGATGCATCAGTCTGCAAGACTTGGGGATGGTCTGAACCTCTGGTGCTGCTTTTCTGGCACCTACAGCCAGATGGAAGGGTCTTCTGCACTTGCAGAATCTAAAAAGACTTCAAAACTACATTGAAAGTAGAGCTGTTAAGTTACAGAAGTATTGGAAGTTAGCTCAAGGACCACTGCAGTGGTAAGCAGGACCAGGGGCACAAGAGTGCATCCCACTTTGCTGCACTACCTCATCAGCTCCCTGACAGGAGGTTGGAGTCAGGTGGGGGTTGGTCTCTTCTCCCAGGCAACAGCAGCAGGACAAGAGGGCACAGACTCAAGCTCTGCCAGGGGAGGGTTAGGTTGGAGATTAGGAAGAGATTTTTTACAGAGAGAGTGCTCAGGCATTGGAATGTGCTGCCCAGGGAGGTGGTGGATTCACCATCCCTGGAGGTTTTCAAGCTGAGACTGGATGTGGCACTTAGTGCCATGGGCTAGTAACCACGGTAGGGTTGGACTTGATGATCTTGAGGTCTCTCCCAACCAGGTTGATTCTATGATCAAATGGTCCAGAGGTTTTCATGCAGGTATTCCTTAGCTGTGAAAGCTTCAAAAAAATCAAAGAAATAGAAAGAACATTTATAGCTGTGAGGTTGCTGCCAGAGTGGTTGGTTTGTTTGTTTTCAGTTTTAATCATCTGCTACCAATAAATTCCACTGCCCTTGTGGTAATGTCTCACATTAACATTGATATATTACAGGTGTTTTAAAGCAGACAGTAAAAGTATTGCATTTACTAATTAAAGCAATTCATGTATTCAACAAAGTACTGCCAGAAAGGGTTGTGGTTTCTTAATTGTTAGGTGCCTTGAGCAATATACCTGTTACAAATTCTGAATTGAACTTTATATTACGGCCAATGTGATTTGAAATATTCATAGCTGATTTGGTTTGTTTGATTGTTTTTTACTCCAGCTCTTCATTGAGAAGTGTATCAACTGGATCTTCAAGACCTTCCAAAGTGTGTTTGGTGTGTGGAGATGAGGCATCTGGATGTCATTACGGGGTGGTTACATGTGGCAGCTGTAAGGTTTTCTTCAAGAGAGCAGTAGAAGGTAAGGAAACGCAAAAAATATCAACACAAAAGACAAAATATGTTCTTAAAAAAAAAATCAAAGCAAAAGGAATGTTTATATACACATATAAATTTTCTTACGTGTTTTCTGCTGATCATAAAATTGTGTTGTTAATATGAAAAAAAATCGTTGAGTGAGCTCCAATTAAATGTGGTACAATTATGTTGGATGTGCCAGGGTGTGCTGCTATGTTCACCTTCTAAAAAACATACCGGTTTGCTTCATGCCACTGTTGAATCAGGCTGCTTCTCTACACCCCTCCAAGTAGATTTTTGTAGTTTTTATCGCACATAGATACAGTTGATGTAAACATACTCTTGTTTCTCCTGTACTGGAGGATAAATGTGGTTGTCTCATCATGCTTTGGCAGCTTTACATGACAGTACAATTCACTCAGGTCAGTCACTGCCCCATGGGAATCTCCAGTAGTGCATCTGCTTCATCTTTCAGCCTAAGAAAAGTGTCTTTACAGTACTGTGGTAGATTGTGAGGAACCAGGAATGGATCATGGTGCTTTTAGAGATAATTTTCTTCATGAAAGACCAGGACTGTGTTTTGATAGGTTTATCATCATAGCAGTGTTTTGGTGACACCTCCCTATCTTATGTTAATTATGGTATGTCTAGTTTTCCCTGGGCATCTCAACAGAAAGAAGTTAGGATCACTCAGGAGTCCTACAGGACCTGTGGTAGGTGTTGTCTCTCTGTTACTTGGGTTATTAGGGTAAAAGAAATGTTTGACTTAGTAAATAATGCAATAATCCTTGACATGCAAGGGAGCTGGAGAGAGGGACTCTTTGTTAGGAACTGCAATGATAGGACAGGGGGTAATGGGTTCAAACTGAAGGAGCGAAAGTCTAGGTTGGATGTGAGGAAAACGTTTTTTACTCTAAGGGTGGTGAGACCCTGTCCCAGGTTGCCCAGGGAGGCTGTGGCTGCCCCAACCCTGGCAGTGTTCACAGCCAGGTTGGATGAGCCTTGAGCAACCTGATCTAGTGAGGAGGTGTCCCTGCCCAGGGCAGGGGTTGGGACTAGATGATCTGTAAAGTCCATTCCAACCCGTAAATTCTATGATTCTATAACTTCTTTAAGTGATAAAAAATAACTTTTTAATGCCTGATAATAAGTGTTCATGGCATGCAAAGGGCATAAATACTGGACAGGTTTTTTGAAGTCTTGGTGGATTGAGTAGATGTTCTTACAAGCATGGATGAAGCAGGAGATACCTCCTGTTTTATCTTCATGAAGAAAAACCTAGGAGGAAGAAAGTAGGCTCTTAATCTGGTGTCCAGCTTGTGCAATAGGAAGAGCAAGGCAGTGTGTGATGTGATTAATTTCTCCTGTGATCATTAGATCTCCTGCTGATGGCAATAAGGATTTAGCTCTGTGTTAAACAGACCTGGAGGGCTTGTGCGTCATTGAAGTCAAGACTTCATGTAATATCTCTCTATCAATCTATTTATCTATCTATCATCAAAAGTGCCAATCCAACTGAAATGAACTTCCCAAAGTTTTAAGGACATGGAAGAGGTCTCCCCCTGCTGAAAGCATTTTCTTACAGTTGTGCAAGAGCTGACCTTGATGCTTTCATTGCCCAACTTCTTCCTTGAGAATTTAGACACTTGATGTGGCATGTGAGCTGGAAAACCTTAGTTATCTTCACTGAGTGTTTTCCCTTTCTTTGGATGTCATTTCTGACATAATGTGATGGATATTCCTATCCAACTTCACATTAATTTATGAAAAATTTCCAAGGATTCCCTTTTGGAGTTAACAGAGTAGCAAAACTATGTTTTCAAGTCTCAGAAGCCAAAATTATTGGGAAAGGATTACTCTGTGATCAGGCCTAGAAAGAAATTTTTTTAAATGTAATTAAAAGTGATCAGTAATTACTGAAAGTTTACAAGTTAAGCCAAAAAAAATCCTCAAAAAATGAACTATAAAGCTACCCTGTCCTCACTGAAAATTCAGTGTGTTTTAAATTAGCTTAAAATGTGCTTTTTAGAGTCATTACATTAACATACACATTCCTAGCAGTGGTATGTGAACACTCCCTAGACTTCTGTTTGGTGTGCACATGACTGAGCTCTCAATGCTACCAGTAGCATTACTGTTATGCAAACACTGAAATTTTGCCTTGGCTTGCACTTCTATATTTTTTTTTCGTGTGTGTGTGTGTATATGCATAGAATTACATTGCAGAGCATCAGCCGCACAAAGGACGTAGCAAAAACCTAATATACATTTTTGGCTACAAATATCCTGAGACCATCAACACAAATGAAAGTTTGTGTAAGTAGTTTTGTAACAAGTTTATTGTGGAGGCATAATAATTATTTTTTTTAGTTGGGAACATGACCAATAAAACACCCTGAGGCTTTCTGTTTGAAATGAAATATTTGTAGTAATTATTCTGTATCATATGTTCATGAGCATGTTTTGAAAAGTATGATAGGTCAGTTCATGGTATAAATTAAAATATAACTAGGTGGAAGAATGACCTTAAATGTAGATCCTGAGCACACAGGTCTCAGCACTGAGCTGAAGGTGTGTTCTTGCATTCTTGTCTTTATTGTGAAGAAAACAGTAAAAAATTTCTCTGTGAACATAGAAACCACTTTCTGGGGAATTTATAAATACAGTGGCTATTTTATTTGGGGAAAAAAATTAATTTTTCCCTGTCTAAAAGATTGTGGTGAAAGAATAGAAGAGATTCTTCAACTTTGACTCACCATTTCCCCAAAAATCTTGTATATAGTCTTGTTTAAGGTTTTATATATATTTTCCCAGTTATATTTTGCACATTGTATATGTGTGTGGACACACACATATTTCTTTCTTGATCCACTAAACATTCCTCAGTAGAAAGTGGCACGAGAAGTTATGGTCTTTCAGAAACAGCCTCTTTTCTTCCCGTGGTTATTTAATACAGTAGTTACAGCTGGTATCATTTTCACAGAGCCACAGAATGGCTGAGGTTGAAAGGAACTTCTGAACGTCATCTGTCCATCCCTCTGCTCAGTCAGGACCACTTAGGCCTGGTTGCCCAGGACTATGTCCTGATGACCTTTGAATATCCCCAAGGATGGAGTCTCCACTACTACTCTATCAAACTGTGCCTAGGATTGGTTTTCCTCATGGTAAAACTGTTTCCTGGTGTACAGATGGACCATCCTATGTTGCAGTTCACATCCTCTTTGAACAGAGGGTCTCCTCCTTTAGTCATTAGGTTCTACTGGTTTAAATTGAAGTTTTATTTAGTTTAATTCAAATATTTATGTACTGAGAGTTCTTCAAAACGGAAGGGAAAGGACAAGTAATATAGTTGATTATGTCCCTGCTCATTGCAGGGCCCTTAAAGAACCATTCCAACTCAGCCATTCTGTGAGTCTGTGGAGTGGAGAGACAAATTGGATCAAAGAGCATGGAAGCAGAGGGAAGAGGGATTTGGAGAGGGACCACCCAGCTCTGTGGGTCTTGGCTAGAATTGCTGATGCTGTCAGCTCACCTTGAACAGCTTTCGAGCACCAGTTCCTTTGTGCTCCTTTGAAATATTATAAAACCAGAGGGATTATAGCGGAAAATAACAACTGTATTGGAATTTAAAAACAAGAAGCTAACAAGAAACGCAAGAACAAAGAGACTAAAGCTTGCATTTCCAATTATAAATCTGGTAATTGTATTCCCAGCAAATCGTATTTTGGGACTTGCAGGAAATGTCTGATGAATTTATGAGAAGGAAAGCTGTAGAGCAAAAAAAAAGTATTAAAATGGGTTTATTGGTGAAATTTTCAAAAAGTAATTTCAGGTGGAATTAATTGCAGGGCTGTAAATTTAAGAAGTACAAGTTTTGGTATCAAGCAGGCATGGACTTAGTGCTGAGTGACTTGGTGAAGAGGAGTCTGGTCTGAAAAATACAGTTTTGTCATTAATACAAATCTGATCTGCCTTGCAAACAGGAGAATCCTTTAACCATAGAAATGTTGACAAATGGTGCCACTGCAAAAGTTAAGACATATACTTGGTATACATTTTTACCTAGAATAATTATATTGTATGGTTTTTTCTGAATTACAGATATGGCCAATGATAAAATTATTTGAACTTTAATTTATGATCATTAATAGAGTCATATGCTGAAAATACACTATACTGTGAGGAAAGCTGAAGCACCTGGCCAGTCTTGTCTTCTCTTTTTCCACTGAAGCAGCTAAGGAGAGTAGCAGGCTTGAAGTCAGAAATCACAGCTGTTCTTGCGTATGCTTTGCATTTTTAGTCTTCATTTGTTCGAGTTCCAGACAAGTATGAGGTAATCTGTTCTAAATCAAAATTTATATTGTTTCCTAAGTTGCTAATCTTCCTTTGGCTTGAAGGTTCTAAGAAGGAAAGGGGTTTTTTTTATCTTCAAATGGTGCTAAAGACTACAGTAAAAAGGACCATTTTCTTCCAGTTATTTTGCATATTTGCTGAGAGATTTTTGGCTGCTCAAAATGGGCAAATTAACAAATTGTATTAGTTATAGGGAAGCTTGAAATAGCAGATTTTTTTCTCCTGGGGGTTCACCTTAAAGCTAATTCTGCTACTCTAAATCTGACAAATAGATTTCTCTTCACCTCTGAAGTAGAAACACAATCGCAGCAACAGAAGTTTTTAGAGTTGCAATTACTTTTTTTTACCCAAACATTTGCTCTTTGCGAATTTGAAGGGAGGGGTAATTTGGCTGAAGGAATATAGCAAATGTGCTCTGCACCTCAGTGAGCAGCCTGGTGCCAGAGAAATCCTACCTGTGCTGTGTGTTTGAACAGCAGGTTATCCAAGACTTCGCTTCAATAGTGGAAGGGATGAAATTTCTTGTGCAGCAATCTGCAGGGACTCAGCATAGCTGTGGGAACCGAGATTGCCTCGAAGATAGGGTTACGGAAAAGAAGTGCAATTCTTCATCTCCCTTTTGTGCTAGGCTACTCTGAAAACACAGACACA